ATACAGTATTATACAATAATACTGTTCCAGCTTACATACAAATTCAACTTAAAGACAGATCTTGGGACCGGAATTCGTTCTTAAACTGAGGACTACCTGTACTACCTTTCTATAACTTGCAACTATTTAAGGCTGCACTTTGAGTTTGTATTTGAAATACTGCAGTAAATCATACCTGTCTTATAATTATGTGTTAAGTTCTAAGTCTCAGGTTGGCTTTGGAGTTTGGATCAATATAACTATTAACTTTTGTCAACAAAACATTTGTACCCAAAACATTCATCATTTATTTGCATTTTTTTCATTGTGATAATGAGCATGTTCCCGTTATTTTATTTCCAGAACAGAAAAGGTAGCAGACAAAATCATGTCAGAAATTGCTCCATCTAACTGGTGCTCTCTGGGAAGAATCCCAGGAAAAAGATTGAGATAGGCGAAGTCTATCTGAAGCATGTATTTCACTACCACCTTTTTCCTGTAGTGTTTCCTATGATCAGCTGTTCTCTGGGAAGCATTTTTATTGTTTTTTATTAATGATTTTTATTAATATATCTTTGGGTTATTTATATTCCAACAAAAAATGTTTATATTATAAATACTACATATCAGTAAATTAAATACTTCATCTTCTAGGCAAACTAATGAAAGACTGATTTTCTACATATTCTGGCCACTTTGCATGATAGGCTAAAGATGCACCGGCATCTTTATTCTAGGCAGTGTTTTTTCTATGTAGACAATAATAACTGAATCTGAAAGACTGAGATAAAAAGTATGCTTACAGCAAGTGACATGTGTAGTCCTATAATTCTGAAATAGTACAATAAGTTTAACAAAGTCTTAAAACATACTGGAGATTCCTCTTTGGTAAGAGGCAGTTAACAGGCAAGTTGTAAAACTAGATGTTTGAAATGAGTCTTCTGTTGCAATGTTAATCACTAATTAATTTCAAATAAAGGGTGCACCAAAATGTTTTAAAGTGAGTTCAGTATTAGGTTTCTATTAAGAATTGGGGGGGGGGGATTGGATTTATTTTTCATTTTATTAAAAACTTCTCAATAAAGTCTAACAATTATTATTTGATGCCTTTGAGTCAGTGTTGACTCCTGGCAGTTGCCTGGACTAGTCCCTGCAGTTTTTTTGGCAAGATTTTCAGAAGTGGTTTCCATTGCCTTTTTCCTAGGGCTGAGAGAAAGGGACTGGCACAAAGGTACCCTGCTGGCTTTGTACCTAAGGCAGGATTAGAGCTCATGGTCTCCCGCCTGGTACCTTAACCACTACACCAAACTGGCTCTCATATTATTCATCAGCAGGACTGATGAACTGTTGCTGGAGAGGCATGTGGGGAGGGACCAGCTGGGATAATTGGACACATTCATAAGCATATTAGTTGCATTACCCAAATTTGAACTCTGTTTCTAAATACTTGTTGTCTAGTACTCTGAAACTTAATAAAATGGTGCCTTATCTCTGTGCTGTACTTCATTCCAAGTGAAAAGGTTTTGTTGTATATCTAAAACATGTCATTGCTAATGTTACCTAATGTGCAGATGTTGGTACGACATAATGATCAATTGTAGTCTTAGAATTGTGTTTAAGGCTTCCATTGTCTCTAAGAGAGTATACTTGCTGAAATAACAGAAGGGGCTTGTTCTGTCCTTGAGGGACTTTTTCTTCTTTTGAAATATGCAGTAAGAATATGGTGATAAAGAGTGCTGGAAGGATAAATAGATGCATTTCTCCAAAGGCCTGGATTCCCAACATAGTGACTGCAGATGACGGTGTCCCTGCCGATGTATCTTTTAGTGATACATTGGCAGGGGCGCTGCCATCTGCAGTCCCCATGTTGGGAATCAGTCACTTGCCATGACTGCCATATTCTTTTTATTTTAAAAAGGAAGCTTGCATGTTGCAAAGAAAGCAGTAGCCTGAAGCATTTTTTAAAAAAATTCAAGAATGCTTCTATGCTTAGGGTTAGGGCTGTACATTCTTAGAAAATAAAATGGTTGGGAACTGCTGTAGCCCGGTGTGTTGCTTGGAAGGATACCCACCTGATGAACAAGTGTTTTGTTACTGACCATGTCTACCAGGATAGCCTTGTTATCAGAGTGCACGTAGCACACTCTTAAAATTCCAAATGTGCCCACATTTGGATTAGTAATCAAAAAAATCTTTTTTCTGTTGGTGGATGTGATATATTTTGGGTCTCTCACTGAGTTTGTACCCTTTCTACATTCTTGTGCTTTTGGAGGGACCCAAGGAAGGCAAGTCTAAAGTAGGTGTTGGGCATTTAAATACCCCATCTTTATCACCAATTATAGCCTCAAAATAAAGCAGTCCAAGGGGTTTTACTTGCCATTCCCAATACAGATCACTTCTGCTATATTCACCAATAGTTTGGTAGCGGGACCAAAGGTGGGAAAGCAGAGTGAGACAATATTATGGTAGACTCTCCTGGATCAAGAATACAGATATTTCAGTTAGTTGGAATAAAAAAAAATTGTAATTAATAAAATTACCCTTAGCCACTCTAAATAGATAGTATAAATACTCTAGATAGTATTTAGAAGAGATTAATCTGAAATCAGTGTTCTTTTTCTGTCTTTGTGATAGATGCATCCTACTAGCCTAACTAGCAAATTATAATTGATGACACTTTGCACAGGTCTTAGTCACACCTTTTTAGTTTTGTCCATATAATTTAGATCTCCTTCAGGGTTGGCAATGAGGAACTAAGAGTTCCCTATTTTAGATTTGTTTTTCTTCAGCAATTTAGCATACTCAAAATTGATTTTTCATGATAGGAAGAAGATTAAAATTGTATAAATTTAAAACATGAAATGTTTACCTTCTCAGGGAGGCAGAAATGAATATTTAGAGCTTTGCTCACCAGGTTGAAATAAAATAAATAAAAATTTAATGCATTTCTAAAATATTATAATTTCAACATACCTTCCCAACTTTCTGTGATAATATCAAGGTTTTAGGTAACTTTATCAAGGACATACTGTGATTTAATTTTTATAAATGGGTTCATGTTAATTATTACTATTTATTTCTTGTAGGTATTGCTTCTATGACAGTTCCAGTATACATTGCAGAAGTTGCTCCACCTCATCTAAGAGGCAGATTAGTTACTATAAATACACTTTTCATCACAGGAGGACAGTTCTTTGCAAGTGTTATAGATGGAGCTTTCAGTTACCTTCCTAAGGATGGATGGAGGTTGGTATGAATTTTTTAATATTAAAATGAAATCACAACAGCTCATTTATTTTATACAGAACCAAGTCACAGTCCTGAAATAAATCTCAGAAATATTGTTACAAGACCTCAAATAAAAGGTTTACGCTAGAAAACCCTCGAATGAATGTGTGTCTATCTCTCTATTTATTTTTGGTTGAAGCAGTCTGCTGTGAAGGAATTCCTATACAGCAATGTAAAAGATGGATCACCAATTACAGGAAGGATTTGGTTGCAATTATTGTAGCTAAAGATGGTGCAACCAGTTACTATATCTAAGGAGCTAATTTTTCACACAGGAACTTTACATACTGGATTACAGGTAATCCTTGAGTTACAACCACCCGTTCAGTGACCATTCAAAATTATGACAGTGCTGAACAAGAGGGACTTATGACTGGTCCGCGAAGTTGCGGCCATTGCAGCATCCCGGAAGTGATGTGATCACGATCCGGGTGCTCAGGTGCCCAGCTCGCTATTATGATGTTGCAGCAAACTGTGGTCACGTGATCACCATTTGCAATCTTCCCTGCCAGCTTTCCACAAGCAGTCAATGGGAAGCCAGCAGGGAAGGTCACAAGTCGCTCCTGTAAGTTGCTCCTCCCGGTTTTTCTGCCATGTAACCCCACTAAGGAGGATGAGATCCCAGAGATCTCTACTCCATAGCACCCCCTTTCCTGCCCATGCTCCCTAGCACCTGGCTGTGGCCCTTGCTGGCCCACCTGCGCTCCCTAGCGCCAACTTGCACTTGCTAGTGCCTGCCCGTGGCCTTCACCAGCACACCTATGCTTCCTAGCACCTGCCTGTGCCCTTACCAGCCTGCCTGCACTCCCTAGCACCTGCCCACAGCACTCCCCCACCCTCCGTGGCACGCACACACCCCCTCAATCTCTGATGCACCTGCCCATGGCACCTACGCTCTCCCATGCTCCTTGCCTGGGACTCTTGCCTCTTCCCACTTAACGTCCCCCACAGTCCTGGGGTTATGATGGCAATGGGGACTGCCAGCATTGCCATCACTAAGTGATGCAGTCATGCGATGTCACGCTTTACGACAGCATTGCTTAGTAGTGGAAATTCTGGTCCCAATTGCCATTATAACCCAAGGACTACCTGTATTTTGTTTATGAAATAAATGAAACAAGCACCAAATATTGGTGTAATTTGTTTTCTCAGATTCTCTTTATATGTCAGTAAGATTCATCTGAAGCTTTGATGAAATTCAGTAGCAAAGATATGCAAACATTTCAGAAAATCTGAAAGGGAGTATATGCAAGAATTCAGAAGATCCAAATATTTGCAGCTTCTGCTTGAAGAGCAGGTGATAGCTGTGGTCAGGAAGGCCTTTGCACAACTACATCTGGTGCACCAGTTGTTCACTTTCCTAGATCAAGGGGCCCTTCAGACAGTGACTCATGCCCTGGTCACCTCGCGGCTTGAATACTGCAATACATATAAGGGGTTGCCCTTGAAGAACATCCAGAAGCTTCAACTTGGGAATCCTTGGGGTTCTCTGAGCTTGGTTGTTTTCTTGTAAACGTTTTGTTACCCGGCTAGATAACATCTTCAGTGCTAGAACACCTCTGCTTTGCAAGCTGCACTGGTTGCCAGTTTGCTTCCAGGTGCGATTTAAGGTACTGGTCGTTACTTATAAAGCACTGCATGGCATAGGGCCTGATTACTTGACGGATTGCCTGTCTCCCTAGCCAGTTTGATCCTGCAAGGTTGAAGATCCCTTTGATTAAATAATGCTGTCTCTCAGGGTCCTGAAAGCACGTCTCCTCTTTAGCAGTACCTGCCCTCTGGAACGAGGTTCCCCCTGAGAGCCAGATGGTCTCCACTCTGCTATTATTTAGAAGAGCCATGAAGACATGGTTCTTCACCCAGGCCTTTGGTGAGGGAGAATGAGACGCCTTGCTTCATTCTATCCAGTCTGTCATTCTTGCCATCTTTTATCTTTTTCCTTCCTTTTATTGATTTTATTATAATGTCTTCATTTTGAGTGTTGTGAATCACCCAGATTCATTGGGAGTCAGGTGGCATACAAATTTAATATATTATTATGGTTGGCTGCACAGCCAGCCGGATGTTTAGACTGGATTTGGCATTTTTATGGACCTGGGATAGGCAGATGTTGTTCGATGGCATTAAAGGTATCATTGCAGGATGTAAGCTGTTCCAAGTA